CATCTCGTGTCCGTACTGCTTACCCCTGAGGGAGACCCGGATGCACTTGACATCCCGACTCCGCGCTCTTACGCGGAGGCGATAGAGGGTCCCTACTCCTCTCAGTGGCAGGCAGCTATGGACGCAGAGATGGCTTCCTGGAAGTCCACAGGCACCTACGTTGACGAGGTTCCCCCGCCTGGGGCGAACATCGTCAGTGGCATGTGGATTTTCAGGGTGAAGCGGCCGCCGGGTTCTCCGCCTGTCTTCAAGGCGCGTTACGTGGCTCGTGGCTTCAGTCAGCGGCAGGGAGTTGAATACTTTCAGACCTTCTCTCCCACCCCGAAGATGACCACTCTTCGGGTACTGCTGCACATAGCTGCTCACCGCGACTACGAGCTGCACTCTCTTGACTTCAGCACTGCTTTCTTGCAGGGCAGCCTGCACGAGGAGATCTGGCTGCGTCGCCCACCTGGCTTCACTGGGTCTTTTCCTCCTGGCACCCAGTGGAGCCTCCGACGGCCAGTCTACGGTCTCCGCCAGGCACCGCGTGAGTGGCACGACACACTGAGGACTACACTTGCGGCTCTTGGGTTTGCTCCCTCTACTGCCGACCCGTCGCTGTTTCTGCGCACCGACACTTCTTTGCAGCCGTTCTACATCCTCGTGTACGTCGACGACTTGGTCTTTGCCACAGCTGACACTGCTGGACTCGCCCACGTGAAGTCCGAGCTGCAGAAGAGACACACGTGCACAGACCTGGGTGAACTGCGCAGCTACCTTGGCTTGCAGATCACCCGGGACAGAGCACGCCGCACCATTACCCTGACTCAGTCACACATGGTGCAGCAGGTCCTTCAGCGCTTCGGCTTCACGTACTCCTCGCCTCAGGCCACTCCTCTGCCTACTCGCCACTCGCTCTCAGCTCTGCCTTCGGATGAGTCCGTAGAGTCGAGTGGCCCGTACCCAGAGCTTGTTGGCTGCCTCATGTACCTGATGACCTGCACACGACCTGACCTTGCATACTCTCTTAGCATTCTTGCACGCTATGTTGCTCCTGGGAGACACAGACCGGAGCACATGGCTGCAGCGAAGAGGGTGTTGCGCTACTTGTGCAGTACATCGGGCATGGGGCTTGTGCTTGGAGGGCAGAGTCCAGTGGTCCTCACTGGACACGCAGACGCTTCTTGGGCTGACGACCAGGCTACGCAGCGGTCGTCACAGGGCTACACCTTCAGCCTTGGTTCCGGCTCTGTTTCGTGGCGGGCTACTCGCTCGTCTTCTGTTCTCGGCTCCAGTTGCGAGGCTGAGATCTACGCCGGGGCCATGGCTGCACAGGAGCTTCGCTGGCTCACCTACCTGCTGACTGACCTCGGAGAGCCGCCTCGTTCTCCTCCAGTGCTCTACGTAGACAACAAGGCCATGCTGGCCTTGTGTCGAGAGCAGAGACTGGAGCACAGAACGAAGCACATTGCTCTTCGCTACTTCCTTGCTCGTGAGCTACAGCAGCGTGGTCAGCTGCGACTTGCGTACGTGGCCTCTGAGGCCAACACTGCTGATATCTTCACCAAGGCACTTGCGCCTTGTGATCATCAGCGCTTCTGTACTCAGCTGGGTCTTGTGCCTACCTTGCCTCACTTGCTCACCTCTTGACCTTGTTTGTACTGTTACATATATATATACTCCTGCTCTTGCTTGTTTAGCCTTATATATATATGTAATCCTGCATGTGAACTGGCCTTGTGGCCTTGAACTTGTGCTCAGACTGTGTGGTGACTTTGTGATCCACCCTGAGCTTGCTTTGCTTTGCTTGACTGGTCTTGTGACCCCTTGTTCTCCCCCACTTTGCCTATGGGGGTGTGTCAGAGTTATTTGACATAGTTACTGTAGGCTATAGTGGGGTAGCACATATGGGGTACAGTTTCCTAGGGTTTGCCTTTTGTACCCAACTTTCACTTAGTCATTTCATTCCTGTTTTCTTGATTCACAGATGCATAACACGTTTTGTCGATGCAAGTACGTGGTCTAATAGTCAAAGTTCTTGAGGGACACGAGTTGTACGGTTGGAGATTTGTATTCTGTCATGGTTTCCCGCAAGCTGCTGTAAACAGGAGCAGTACTTTATGGCCAATGCCGATTCCCTGTGTTGCGATCAGAAAGTGATCGTAACCAGGTTCGCCTCAGGAAGGTTCACACACTTCTAATCTAGCGGTGGTGGGCTCTTGATAAAAACATGCAGACCAAGAAATGTAAATAAGATAACAAGGGAATTCGAAACGTCCCAGCTAGCCATGTACTCTAAGGGATACATTCCCTTATTGCATCGAAAACCCTAAACCGTGCGACGCCGCATGTTTACGAAACCGTTCGTGTGAGCGTGTGACCCTTCGTGGAACACGCGTCCTTTCACCTTCATTCTCGGCAGTGCGTGCTTCGATTCCTGCAGAGAGGAGTGGACAGTAGTGTTTTCAATAATCACTATTCGTAAAACCCTGAGTATACCAAAATGTTGCTAATGAAGTTTAGTGCTAATCCACCCTACTGGATCGCGCCCGCGTATAGCTTACAACTTTGCTAAAAATATAATCAAACCAAGCATACAAGTTAGCTGTCTTCGAGTGTGTCCAACTTGGCCGACAATGTCGCATGTAATTGGTCTATTTTAAGCCGTATCTTTGCTATGCCAGCACGTAAAAACTTAACTTCTTTCCTAAGCTCCAAAACCTCTGCTTGCTCGGCTAGCTCAGATTCTGATACTGGATCGCCTACCTCTATTGTTACTGACCCCTCTTCACTCCTCCTACGAAATGGTCCTTGCGAGGGGACCATAACACCATCGGCCTGTAATTGCGGGAGCAGTGCACCACCTAGAAGCGAATCCATGTCGGTATGTAAACATTCCCGATATTCAGCAGGGTCCATCCCTAGATACAATGGCCCTTCGACGTTATCAGAATCACGGGCGACAAGATCGCGGAGAAACATGCAGGTGTATATGCCACAGTCTTCACTGCCGAGTGGCTGCTGTGGGATCTCGCATGTCTGCAGTAGCACCCAAAACTCAGAGAATTGAGGACATATCAAACCACCACACGTCGTTCTAATGACCCCACTCAGACGTGCAGTTACCTGTAATATACGCCACTCAATCGCTTTAACGTGATCAACGCTGTGTTGTTCACAGACATCGGTCTTCACACGATGGATCTCTTTAGCCACCATCCTGTACATACAACGCGTGTATGGTCAGTGCCTCCGCCATTTACAACAACGGATATGGATACCATGAGACCCCAAAACGATGTTTATACCGCTCGATCACGTCCCATTCGGTGCCCATCTCGCAGTGCGTTCCGGCCGAGTCGTAATGATAGAACTGTGGCTGGTATTCAGGGGAATGATGCAAACTCTCTGTCAGAAGGTGTCTTGCGTTTGCGACCACAACAAGGCTGAAGTGAAACCTGCACATCAAAACTTCAAACCCTCATTAGAAAAAAGTGGTGGAATTGAGAGGTCCAGGCTTGGTTATTGTTGTTTGTCAAACTCACCTTCCAGTGACAACAATCGCGACATAGTCGAAGTCCAGAAACGACCTTTTAGCTGGGCAGCAGGCAATGAGTTTACCATGCCTCGACATGTAATCGAAAGCCTTGGAGTCGAGTGCGATCCATGTTTGACCGTTTCTAAGCTTCGGGTAGCGTATGTCGAGCAAACTGTATGGCACGGAATGAAGGTGTTATATTCATACGTTTTGAGAAAATGAGATTGTGAGAATGACCATAGTTAACTTACATGTTGTGCAAATCGATAATGTTGTCGTTAACTGCGAGACAAGACGTTATGCGATCGATGTCCGCCCATGAGATCGTAATACCAAAGGAATGCCAATTGTAGATAGTGCTCGATCTCCTCTCTTGAGCTGCCACGTCGTGATTCTGGTTCGCATTTTCTGATCCGTACTGCAGGTCGCTGTGACCCGCAATGGTTGAGTCACAGCAGTCGTTACTATTACCAGTAGTTGGGCCTAGTCCCGTGGTGCCGTAAACTGTGGTGGTCATGACGCATACCAAAGTATGCTCGTCTCTGGGCAATGGTTCAGGACTATGAGTATTATTCATGTTGGAGCTCGTGCTGCAATTCTGAAGCCTGCTAAGTATCGTTTTTGAGTGTTCTTGTGGCTGTCATCGTAGGCACGCCGAGATGGTTATGTTCAGATCATGAAAATGGTCCCACGCTTTTTCGCGCGCTTTTTCATAGCATAACGTGGACCAAACGGCCACGATGGGAGGTGACTGAGTTTTGCGATTTGAGCATGTACATGCCAGTTTGAGTTAGGGCCAATGGTGGTCTGCTTTGGTCGTCACCCCGGATTGTGTTGACTGTTCGTACGTGATCTCCGTAAAGTTCCGAGACCCGGGATTCGATGTGCTTATTCACGCCTCACTTTGGCTTTGACGATTGGCCAGATCAAGATCATAGTTCATGATGATAAAAAACACGCTGCGCTATCAGGTTTCTAACATCGATCATAGACGCAGAACAAGCATGCTACACTGCAGGGCAGCACAGGGCCTTTTGAGCTAAAAAACTCGGATATGAAGCTGTCATCAAAGCCGCAGTACTGGAGCGTGTAGTAAAAAATATTCGAACTTCGTGATGTCAGCGACGCCCACAAATCACAATTTTAGCACACTATGCGTTAAATGTACGGCCTAATATTTCAAACAACCTACATTGCGTGTTCAGTCACAAAAGTTGTATGTTCAAAAGTCTACAACGAGCGATGCGTCAGGGAGAAAGCATTACACCAACCTACGAAATGGAAACCCCGTAAAAGCGGACATCATTATAAGGACACACACATGGAAGCGAGCAAGTGGTTGTGATGAAACCCCTAGACGTAGATGGATCAATATCTTGCACCATTGATGCGGTATGTCGCCTGTCACATTACCACGCACAGTATAAGATCAGTTACAGATGTGGGAGAGATGATACACCCTCCGGGCTAATCTCGTACCTCAGTTGTACTGCGGGTGCACGTCCAAATATTGCTGCTGATCACGTGGGGGCCGAGAGAGGACCATGCCCGGAGGTTGTGTTGCCTGGCTGCTGCTCGGCACGGCTAGCGGGCGAGGAGGCAGCATGTTTGGTGCGTGTGGAACCTGTAGTAGTGTTGCCGGTGCCAGCTCCGGCATGAGCTGTCGCCATTCGCGCCACCTGTGCCAGAGGCCACGGTCGGCTAGGCTTGCCACATGCTGCCTGGTGCACCCGGTCAGCAGCTGCTGCTCCGACAGGGTAAGGTCAATACTGCGCTGGATGCGATAACCCTGTGGCCGAACCACCACAGCGGCAGCCTTGTATCCCTTGGCTGCCTCTTCCTCGCTCGGGAAAGGCCCCATACGAATGTGGTTTTCAGGGGCCGGCATCAAGAGCTTGGCAAACCAGGCATCTCCCCCCCGGTAACACCCGCGTACTTGGACTTTGCACGCCCACCGGTGAAGGCATCGGAAGTAGCTCCTGCTGCACCGGCGTCGCCTCCACTGTCGCGCATCCATTCCCCGCCGCCTTCACCCGCGCCACTCATACTCGGGATGGCTGGCGGTGGGTACGACTGCTGCGGGGGGGGGGCGTGCTGCGGTGGACCGCCCTGCCAGCACCATGGCATACCGGGCGGTGGAGCATAAGGTGGCATAGCAGCGTAGCCTTGGTATATGGGAGCGGACGGGCGAGGCACAGCTGTGAGTGGAGCGACCGGTCGTAGAGGCGGGGCAGGTCGGGATGTGCCCGGCTGATAGTACGCCGTGTCCCGCCCCGGTGGCACGCCAGTTTGATGCTGCTGTGCAGTACCTGGGGCGGGTGACGGCGATGCAGATGCGTAGTGGGGTTCCCGCTGGTGCTGCTGCGGCGGCGCTGCATCCTCGTTGGGACCAAACCGCGAGGTCTGGCGAACTCCTGCAAGGGGGGAGGCCGCGGTGTCTCTGAGTCCCGGGTCGGGACTAGAGTCAACCCGCTTGGATGGAGAGGTCACGTCTGGGTGGCCAGGCTCACCTAACCCGCCGCCGGTGTTCCCTGTCTCCCGAGCTTTCTCTAGTGCCGCCACGCGCTCAAACAGCTGCTTGCTGACGCTGCTGAACTTCGAATGCAGATCGGCCTGCTCTGCGCGCAGAGCTGCGACATCCTTCTTCAGGGTCTGCACATCGGAGCTCGTCTCCCGGACAACACCGCTCATCTCTGACACGTCTGCACTGGTGGGTACGGCACCTGTACGTGTGAGCTTCTGAGGGGGAAGAGTGAGGCCCGCAGTCTGCAGGGCAGATAACAGATTGCCCGAGATATGGGCGCACATGTCTGCCCGCCAGTCGCGACGGAACCGCAACGGGGAAGTTGTGAAGGCGATAGGACCGCCGAGGTGTTGGAAGTTGGTGGTCACGTGCAAGTGGAGGTACATGGCAGCGTAGACGCCACAGTCGAGACTCTTCTCGGGCTGCCGCGGTATCTCGTATGTGATCTGTGCACAACAGCCGAGTGTGATTAGGAATTCTACATGTGCGATAGCATGTTCGAAAGTGAAAGGTAGGTGAACAATCTTACATCAAGTACGCGATACGGGATGGAGCCAATACGGGACTCGACAACAGTCCGTGAAATTCCGGGGTAGACATGGTTCAGCTCCGAGGCGAGAATCCTGCCGTAGAACATAAAAATTGATTAACAGTGTTTGCGCCAAACCGTGTATAAGCACGCTCTGCTTCTATACTTACATGCGAACATTAGTGACGACGGCGGTGTTGGCTGCGTGGTGGCCTGTCAAATCATATAGCCACAGTTTGGGGGGGGGCAGCTCCTCACCACCCTCGGATGATGTGACGAGCGTGCTTGCGTTCTCCAGAACAAACAGACTGAAGTGAAACCTGACGGAAACACGACGGGAGTGATTATAATAGAATATATGTATGAACAAATTCGACAGCCTGATTGCTGCACATACTTAGCCGCGGCAAAGATTGCCACATAGTCGAAGCGCAAGAAGGTGTCCTTGTCTTCACAGCCAGCGATGAGCTTCATCTGTGTGTCTCAGTAGTCGTAAGCTTTCACATCAAGCGCGATCCATGTTTTACCGTTGTCCAACTTCGGATGGCGAATGTCCAAGAGGCTGCATGGGTACCGGCAGGGGGTGGTTAGCGGTTAGGATGTCAGCAAGGAGTGTGTACTATTTGAACTTCTGATTCAGGGTTCCCGTATGTAATTGTCTCCAAAGGGATGGCGGGACTTACATGTTGTGGAAGTCCAATGCAGTGTCCGTGATTGGTGCCGCATCCTGCATGTGGAGAGCGTCAGCAACGTTCAACGAAACCCCGAACCCATGCCAATTCGCAATCGTCTTCGTGGGCCAGTTGCCACTCTTCACCGATGGTTCTTTCTTAGCGCGGCACGCCGGCGTAATGCCCGGGAGCTGCTTCATGCTCCGTGCCATGTCGGCTATAAGATCCTGTGCCGGTGGTAGCGATTTCTGTGGTGGAGGCGGTGGTTGGAATGAATACGGTTCTTCCGTGACCCGTGCACGGTGCGCCCTAGTAGTCGGGCCAGTGGTCTATTGCTGTTCTGCGCCAGACGTCCTTTGGCGTTTCTGGTGCGGGCCGCCCCTAGTACGCTTGCGGTGGACACTAGGGACTTTCGTGGCATCTTCTCCACCCGTGTTGCCGTTATCCGACTCGGCCTCTAACTCAACTAAGTCGTCCTCCTCCTCGTCTCCTACGTTCACAGGGTCGTCCGGCCGGCCCGTAGGCATTTCTAGTCGCTAGTGGAGAAAGCTGGTGAGCGGTAAGGTAACGGCAACGAAGGAGTAAAGCGTGCTGTCTTAGCGGGCCTCAAGGTCTGAATCTTGTGAACAACGGCTAGAGGAACTGCTAATGCGAGGTGGTTCTAAACGGACTGGTGAAAATATAAACAGCGAATGCAGGACGGTCGGTATAACACATCAGGTAATGAGCAAGAATGACAATCAAAACGAGAGCGGGTGAACGGTGTTCTCGAATCACGTGCAAGAGCTGCCCTCGCTTTTGAGATTTGCGTGCTGAACACGGCGAGCACTGAATGGCTGGATGTCGCGACTCGAACGTTGTGTTATCCTGTTGTGGACCACGCGGGCTGTGCTGGCGTATCCTCGTTCGCTCATGCTCGCGGTCTGTTTTTTAACAAATCGAGGTTTAACACTGCGACAAGCATGCGAGAGCAAACCCTCATGGGTGACCCTGGAAGGCGAGAATCACACGCGGGGATTCCGATTCATGCCAAGTGGCGTGCAGCTGGCATGTACATTAACGTTGTCGATAAAAAGCGGATCGTAATACGTGGCAACATAATACGTGGGCAAATTTGTTAATGAGCACCTGCAGCAACCTGGCCAACATAATACGTGGGCAAATTTGTTCATGAACGGCTGGCTGCGATTGGTGCTAATTTTCAAGTTGTGAAATGTCAGGACACATTCAACCAACGTATCCACGTTGACGTCAGACTGGTGCATGCATGCCGTTCGGCGGAAATGTTGTCTGTCATTGTTTCGGCGGGGAACAAGCAACGAAAGTCCAACCACGTGTACAGGTTCGCGCATCGTCACGACAATTATCCCTATTGGTCCGCGTTCGCGATGCGCATCTTCAATTGCTCATGAACTTGCCGTTTGAATGACTGCCATTTGGCGCACACAGGATTTTCGACTGAGTGGCGCATTATCGAGCCTAAACTACGAGATGTCACACGTAGGCTTGGCAGCCCAGAACTACGCTGGTTTGGCTCCAACAATGTTGGAGGCTCTCGGTTGGGTTCCTGGAAAAAAGTTCCGACATGACCGTACACTTACATGTACACTACCACATTGAAGTCAAAATGTGGGGAGCGCGTACCGCTCGCGATAGAAGGTGGATGGTGTGTCTTTCGGGTTGTGTAAAAATTTGAGCGAGATGAAAAAAATTCACGAGGGCAAAGCCCGCGCCGCGGCAATTCTCTCCCTTCTACCACTTCAGAGGGCGACAGGAGGAAATAGGGGCAGCGCGAGGGATACGAGGGCGAAGGGAGACTGAAGCGCGGCGGTTCTTGGGATCATGGTGAGAATACGTGCTTGGGTCAAGCGTGTGAGCGAGCGGAAAGGCGGTAGTCGCGGCGAGATTTACGTGCGAGACCATGAACGAAAATTGGTAGCTGTGTTGAAGGCAAGTGAAAGGTTGCACGTCGGGTGGAGGTGGGGGAACCAACGACATTCGATAGCGTTCGCCCGCTACACCGTTACTAGCGCGAGAAGCTCCGTGGTTGGTTACGTTTCCGCGAATGTCGCCCCGTGGTTGCGAAGCATTGTTGCGGAACGAGACTTGAATCTGTGATCTGGTTTGCGAGAGTCGCGTCGCAAGCGGGAAAATTGCAGGTGAGATGTTTCGTGATTCTAGCATTTCAGCATTTCTGTAACACTACACATTCTGTAACCTGACGTCGCCACACTTCTAGTCGCCTGCACGTTTGTTCCAGCTTTTCAGCGAATATTTGCGACGCTACCAGCACAGCTGCGTCGTGGTCGACAGCAAAATGGTGCACAACTTTCATTCGAGGACAGAAGGTGCCAAACTGCGTGTTCCCACAGTCAACTAACTAGCTCCATTTACGACAACGAAATTATTTTCAAATGTTACACCTGCTCGTGCGAGTTCTTCCAACAAGCGCAATCTGCGGCGCGAGAGCAACACAGGAGTCAGCTTCCGTTGACGCTTGCAGCATTCTACAAAATTCAACTCTCGTTCTGGGCGGCACTGTACCTTCCAGGTGAATGACCAGTGACATGGCTCAGAGCACGTTCCTAGAATGTGACATCTTGCCGTTGTCATAGGAAATGCCGACCGCGACATTACGGTACTCTATGATAGGCCAAGAATAGGCCTCCACCATCCCAATCTCGCACATATTGAAAGCAGTGAATAGCCACGTCGACAGACGAGCAGGGCGGTAGCCTGATTTCTCGTAAAGCGCAGCTTTCCAGAGCAAGAACTGAGACCGCTCCCAGTAACCCGTGTGGTCCTCCCTCCGGTGTGGCATTTCCGATGGGAGCGCGAGCAGCCGCAGAAATGTCGTCCGTCCGCGCGCTCATGCGGCTTGGGCGACTCAAGTTCATCCCGTCCTCCTCCATACTCGCCCTCTTAGGCGCACTCTCACGTGACATTAACCACCACGGCCCTGGCGGCGGTGACGGCGGACTCACTGAGCCGCGCTTCCGCATCGAAGCGTTCGTTCCCGTGGCGCTCATCGTCGCTTGCTCACACGTGATGACGCATTTTTGCAGCGAGTATTTCGACTACGCCGCAGATGTCGCCAACAATCACCGCGGAAAGTGGAACGGCGGTTCCGGCGTGCTTCCTGCCGGCCTGCTGCCGCGTTGGACGGCGCTCATCGCGGCGGGCGTGCTGTTCGCCGGCAGCATCGGCGCGCAGCTCGCGTTTTTCAAAGCGTCGGCGCAGTACGTCGCGTGGGCCGCCATGTTCCTCTCGTGCGCGTACGCCGCGCCGCCCTTCAAGCTGCAGTATCGCGGCTTCGGCGAAGCGACGGTGGCAGTCGTTCTGACGTGGTGCGTTCCCGCGATGGGTGCGCTAATGCAGCGGCCCGACGACGCGTTCGTGCTTCCGACGTCGCTGCGCGCGATCATCCCGCTGTTATTCGTCCAGCAATTCGTGCGGATGATGGTCATGAACCTTCCCGACATCGAATCGGACCTCCAATGCGGCAAGATCACGTTGACCGCGCGAATGGGGCCCGAGCGGGTTGCGCGTTTGTATCGATTCGCGCAGTACGCGATTGGTGTCGTGGCGGTGGGATTGTTCGGTTCGGGGCACATGACGTGGCCCGTGCTAATCGCGTTTCTCGTCGCGACGACGAGCGGGCTCAGTTTGTCGCGTTGCTTGGACGAAATCGTGTTCGGCGGCGCCGCGACTGGAACGACGATGGAGGATCATGATGCACGTGGCAAGAACCGCAACACTGGTACTGTCGATCCAAAGACCGCGACCCGGCCTTACACAACAGCCGCGCTGGCCTTTGGAGATCTCCCGTACCACGCGACAATCCACATCGCATCTACGGCGCTGATGCTGGTCGTCGCGCAATCCGTTGTGCTGATGACGCAGTCGCAACTATACTATTACTAACAGACCACTTTTGAGGCGCCTCGAAATAGACCACGGCGCTGATGCTGGTCGTCGCGCGAAGCCGTGTGCTGATCATGCAGACGCAGTACCCGAGAACGCTAAGAACGCTGATATTAGTACTAGTCGTAGTACGCTGAGAACAACAGGCCGGCACCCAATAGCGATTGCTGCTGGCGGAGGGGTATTCAGAAAGGTGCTGAGCTGAAAGGGTATTCAGAAAGGGGTATTCAGAAAGGTGCTGACAGGAGGAAAAAAGGGCAGCGAGACGGAAATGAGGGGAAAAGGAAAGTGAAGCACAGTTCTTGCTGTAAAGCGAGGATACGTGCATGGTTCGAGAGGGGAAAGCGAAATTGGCGGCGAGAGTTATGAGGGATACAATGGATGAAGGAGGTGCAGGGAGGGGTGAAGGGAAAGGTGCCACGTCGAGAGTGGGAGGAGAGCCGACGAAAAAAGACAGCGCTCGCCAGCTACCGTTACTGGCGCGAGTAATGCTCTGGTTATATTTTCGTTAACGTCGCAAAAGCGCGAATGGGTGTCAGCTACCACCTTCGCCGAACAAGATGTGAATGTTGTTTGAGAGAGGCGCGTCGCGAGCGGAAGAAATGCGGTCCGGCTGTCCCCTAAATTCTTGAACTACGATGGCATAATATGGGAAATACCAGACGTGGATACAGAATTGTGGATGGAGACTGGTTTTACGCCTCATGTGAAATTATACGTCACTACCAGTAATACTAAACCACACCAGCATTGGTTTGGACAAAGGCCAATTCCACTGAAGCCAACAGCACATACACGAAATCAGGGAACACTGAAACCTCCTTACAAGAACCTGCGATTCTTGCTTTGGATGAGCACAGGGCAGCAAAGAAAACCACCCTGCTTGCTTCACGATCCCATTCTCGTGCACAACAGTGACAAGGCAACAGCAGCGTAATCCCGGCACATTTTCAACACTGCAAACTCCGTCCATGATGCATCAAGCTGCCCGGGCTCCTGCCCTGAATCCTGCCATGTACGCAGCTCCCTGGGTGCAGCAGATGTGCTTGGTGCTGCTCTGAGCTTAGAAGCCCAGCTTCGTACGCCTCCAGTGCCGACGCTTGGCGTTGTACCTGCGGGGAGCAGTTGGGCGAACAGACAGTCACACAGGCCAATTACGAAGGGGATCAGATATACTCTTGTACTTATCAGCTTCGTACGCCTCCAGTGCCGGTGCGTGGCGTTGTACCTGCGAGGAACAGAAAGTGGTAGGAGCCAATGGCATGAGGGGACCAACACAGGCAAAAGGGTGAGAAAACAGACGCCTGTTACTTCAACATTCAGGTGCATCCAGTGCCGGCGCTAGGCGTTGCACATACCTGAGGGAACAATCAAAAGCACACTAACGAAGGATGAAGGAGAAGCTTGGAGCGTCTATGATACGGGTGTGAGTCCAGACCTGGGATTTCGAGCCCAACCCGCCACTTATCCCAGGTAACAGACCCAGTCAGAGCCACTCCATTGGTTCCTACCTAAGACAAAGGCATTCAAGAGGGCACTTTCTGAGCTGGCTCAGAGGACTCATATCTCGTTATCCTAAAAGGAGAGTTTGCCAAGGCGGTTTTTCAGGCGCTTCAGAAAGAAACCACCTCTTGAGCTGGCTCGAGGACTCATATCTCGTTATCCTCAAAGGAGAGTTCGTCTTGTTTTGAAGCACCTCAAAACAAGCCAATGCCATTCAAGAGGGCACCTCTTGAGCTGGCTCGCGAACACATATCTCGTTATCCTAGAAGGAGAGTTTGTCACGGCATCCGCTACGCCCCTTTCAGCTCTGTCAATTTCTGCCCTGTCGGGTTCTGTCCTGTCATTTTCTGCCCTGTCGGTTTCTGTCCTGTCGTTTTCTTCCCTGTCCGTTGGCGTGTCAGTTTCTGCCATGTAGCCTTCCTGACCTGGCCATTTCTGCCTGTCTGCTCCTCCCGTATCGGTTACTGCCTGTCGGTCAGTCTGTAAGTCGCTGCCTGGCCTCTCGATACGTTTCATGCGACTACAAAGGGGGTCGTTTGAGATGCATCGCAAATCTACCCTTGACATTTCCCAGGATTCTGAATCGTATCCCCGGACAGTCTTTGAGGCGCCTACAGAATCCGCTACTCTTTTCCTGGCATCTCGTGAACACAAAGGGGGTCGTTCGAGACGTCTCGCGGCTCAACTCTTCACATTCACGCGGTTTCTGAATCATGTCTACGGACTATCGAGGCACACTTTCTTCTCTCAACCTTATCCGAAACCCCCCCGAACCTAGGCCGTTCTACTCAATCTGGAGCCCCTGAAGCGACCAGCTACACCTGCTCGCTGCGAGACCAGCACTATAAACCCTACTCCGTGAACCGTCAATGACGACTAATCTCCTGCAGCTCGCCGACTTCCTCCAGACCTCATCGAGTTTGTCCGTACTACATCGGATAACCCCCAGATGCGGCTAACTACACCTGCTCGTTTAACTAATCCCGACTCCTTGATCCCTTCCCTCCTGTCCCCCTCGTACTCGAAACCACGTGAAATTATAAGTGTTTTGAGAAGTCTTAAAACACTTCTGATATCACGTGACTAGTCCCGGCTCCTTGATCCCTTCCCTCCTGTCCCATCAATATTTGAAACACGCTCTCCAGGGGAAGGGCAAGGATACAAGGGGGGAGATGCAAAGGGTGGACGGGGGAGAGGAGGGGAGGAATGGGAGGGGAGGGGGGAGGGGAAGATGAAAGGGTTGCAGGAAGCGTCCGGGGGAGTGAAAGGAGGGGAGGGGAGGTGGGTGGAGAAGGGAGGGGCTCCCGGAAAAAAGATGAGATGTTGCTGGAATGCAAGCTAAGAAGATATTAGGCGGAAATCGATCATAGAAGGGCCAGTTCCGCTTCAACCGGTACGAATCTGAGTGGAACGTACCGAACCTTGTTGTCGGTGCGCGGGCGAATCCAGTAGGGAATCGAGCGGCTCTGCTTCATCTTCACGCCTTTCACACTGTTAACCGACTCAGACGTACCGAACTTTGTTGACTAAATTCAACGTACCGAATCTTGTTGTCGGTGCGCAGGCGGATCCAGTAGGGGATGGGCCGGTTCTGCTTCATCTTCTTCGCGAGCTTGATCTTGATGCGGAAGGCCTTGTGGGAAGGCTGCACGTGGTGACAAAGGGGAGGGGGGCGAGGAGGGAACGGGGAACAGAAGTAGGGGGGGAGGGTGGGGAGGAAGGTGATTGAGGTTGTTGCGTAAGACCTTGTGTGGGAAGGCTGTACGTAGCGTCACGGGGAGGAGAGGAGTGTGTGGGGGGGAAGGGGTGTTTTTGAGAATTCTCAAAAACACCCTGCAGCATCATGGACCTTGTGTGGGAAGGTTGTACGTAGCGTCACGGGGAGGAGAGGAGTGTGTGGGGGGGAAGGGGAGAGGAGGGGGGGATGGAGGGCTTGCAGCGGAATGCTTTGTGGGAAGGCTGTGCGGTCTCGTAGGGAGAAGGACGGGAAGAGACGGAAGGAGAGGTGCGCGGAGAAGGCGAGGTTACGGGGTTGATGCGGAAGAGCGGGACGAATGGGGAGGAGCAGGGGAGGGGGGGCGGCGAAGAAAGGGTGGGGGGATGAGAAAGGCGGGCGCGTAAACAACTAAGTTAGAGAGAGGGCTGGATTGCAAGAGAAATTGCGGACGAGGGGAGGAAATGGGGAACGGGGAAGGAAACGGGAGGAGGGGGAAGGGGATGTAGGGAGAGAAGAGGATGGGAAGTGGGCCAAGAGTATTCTTGAGATGCCTAGCGAACAAGAGTACTAAGGAAGTTATAAGCTGGATTGACCACTAAACGCGACGGAAACGCGCAGGCGTTTCGACATTGCCTTCTAAACGGGCCAAAACACAAAGATCCATCGCACGTTTCGTATCATAACACCTGGCAGGGTCAAAATCGAGACTCCTGGCCCGTTACCTAACCTAGCCCGGAGGAAGTAACATGCGGGCCGTATAGTCTTTTGAGTCAAACAATACGAGGCTTACTCAGTACAGCAAACCCTAAAATTGCAAACTAAACAAATTCGAAACGGAGAATTCGCGGGCCTGCGACAGCGGGAGAAACAACGACGGTGCGCGCGCTTCGGCAGAGGTAACGCGACGGATTGAGAACGCGGTGCGGGAAGGCTAAGGAGGGAACTGACCATGGCGGCAAGTTAGGGTGGAGCAGCAGAACGCGTGTGGGGTCGTGACCAAGCGAGAAGGGAGGAAAGAGAAGATAGCATTCTCGTGGGTTGCGTTTGATCAGAGCTGCTGCAGAGACGGCGCGGAGTGGAAGGGGGGAGGGAGGGGACGGGGAAGGCGGGGGCACATGGAGGGGGGGGGTGAAGGGAAATTGTAGGACAGGGGGCCAGGGGGGAAAACATGGGGAGACGGGGACAAAGGATCGCAAGAACACTGGGACTGGGTGGTGCACCACATGACCACCATATTGTACATGACGTCGCTATGAATGATTTCGATTACAAATGAGAGAACAAACAACAATTTCAGGATATTATGATTTTACGATGTGGGAATACTATATTTTAAAATTGTTTTTTTTATACGGAAAAGTACACTACAAGGATAATGTACAAAACGCATCAGGCAGTCGTAACTGTATCTGGAGGGAAGAGCCACAGTAGCATGTACCGTAGATTCCCTATATCGAGCCTACGGTGGTCGATTAGTCATCATCGGATCGTTCCAGATGGAACTGAAGCTACTCTTCCACGTCAGCGGTGCCCCCTTGCTGCATATGCGCCTCATCACCTCCGCCTCGTCTGCTGCCAGGTAACCCCAGTTGTCAGCGCCGACCGCCACACCATACCTCCGTGCTGCCACTTGCCTTGCCAGGCAGTACACCCTGGCGTGCGCGACAAACTTTACCACCGCCAGGCGTATCACCTTCTTCGGCTGGAATTTTACATCACAACGGCTTGCGTCACACCTTGCCAACCACACCTGGTGGAGTGTGGTGGCAATAAAGGAACTTTCCGGAAAGCCGGACTTCGTGCACCCCTGCATGAAGAGGAGGTTCTCCAAACCCTGCCAGTTCAGCTGCGGGTTCATCTTAGCCAGCCCTTTCCGCAAGAACCGGACCACCCTCTGAATCGCCGGGCAGCTGAGCAGGCAGTGCTTCGGTGTTTCCTCTGCTTTGCAGTGTGGGCAAACCACTCTGTCCTTCATAAAGAAAAGCCGCTCCCCCACTTGTAGGTTTCTACGGTGCAGCCTCAACAGGATTTCTCTTGCCCGGGCAGGGGTGGCGAGAGAGTCCCTCTGCCTG